AGTTTTATATTGTTTTATGTGTTATGTAAATACCAAGGGCAGATTTGTCCTTTCATGTAACTAGCATAACCTATACATACTAAATAGAAGTGGCGGCGGCAGAATATTTCAGATTCTGTCCTTCCTTTTCAATTCTTGTGTTCTACTGCTCTCTCTCTACTCTTTCTCCTCTCTCCTCTATACCTTTTTCTCCTTTTTTTCGAACCTGAGATCTATTAGGGTTCAAGGTTGATAGCAGTCTTGAACATCTACTATTATATATATTAAATATCATATATATATATATATATATTTGAGCCGGCTCGCGAGCCTCACAAGCCGAGCTCTAGTAGGCTCGAGCTTGGCTCGTTTAATAATCGAGCCAGTGAATTGGGCTCGAGTAGCTCGTGAAAAGCTCGGCTCGTTGCCACCCCTACTGGTATCTTTAATTTTCCTTAGGCACCGTTTGGTTTGTGGGAAGATTTGGGTGGGATGGGATGGGAAAGTGTAAAAATTTAACTTTCCAGTGTTTGGTTTTATATATGGGAAAATAATAGGAAAAGCACTGTCACGGCATAGTTCTTCGCCGGATTCATGTAAGATGAAGAAGAAGAAGAAGGTGAGGGAGGAAGACAGGAAGAATAGGAAGAAAAAGAAGGTGAGGGAGAAGAGAGAAGAGGAAGATGGAGGGAGAGATAGAGAACAGGGAAGGTAGCAGATCACCGCTGCCCCTCGCACTGGTTCTCTTGCCACTGCCGCCTCTTTTGTTCGATTGTAGCAGATCGCCGCTACCCCTCGCACTGGTTCTCTTGCCACCGCCGCCTCTTTTGTTCGATGGTAGTAGATCGCCGCTGCCCCTCACATTGGTTCTCCTCTTGCCACCGCTGCCTCCTCTGTTCGAATGGGGAAGGCAATGAATAGTGGTTCCTTGCCAGTATCTGGTGAAGAAAATAGTGTTGAATGGATCGGGTCGCACTGTTCGTCGTCGTCGCTGGAAAGCAATGAACAGTGGTTTCTTGAGTTTTTCCACTGGGGTTGCACTGTTTTGGTACAACCCCGATTCCACGATTTTGGGATCTCTTATCCCACATTTTTCTCACCCCATCCCTCTATTTTCCTCAAAACAAATAAGAGAAAAAGGAATATTTTTGGAATATTCCCTTTTTCTCAACCCCCTCCCACAAACCAAACGGAGCCTTACAGATAGTATGGAATGGATTTACATCAAAACCTGGACCTGGTGCCCCCCATAAAAGCTGGTCAGATGGTTCCCAGATCATCTTATAGTATGGAATGTTTAAGTTTTCTCCTTGCATTCTCATGTTATACATGTTAGAGAGCTGGCTATCAGTTTGAATTGCTCAGTCAGATGGTTGCCAGATCAGCTCAGCAAATATCTTGGCAGTTTAACCAGAGCAGAAGTTTCAGGAGAAAACTTAGTTCAGGGTGAGCCAGGACCATGGAATGACTGTAATAAAAATAGTATTAGAAAAGGAGGAAGGGCAGCTCAGCTGCATGTTGTTTCTGTCCCAACACCCTAGATAGCTGGGATCAAAGTTGGGTAATGGCCTTTTTTTACTTGTACAACTGTTTCTTCTTCTTAAATAAATAAAATCAAGTTTGTTTTGCTTCTCCTATTGTTCCCATAATTGGATGCCTCTCTTAGATCCTCAATATCATTCATCCTCCAAATATTATCTCAAAATTCCACCTAGAACCCTAGGTTACATGGTTTTTGAGTTCTGTTTCCAACCCCAAAACTTTCATCCTTTTTGCAAAACATACTCCAAACCTTACCAAACTTGGTCACCCTTATATCTATCTAAGACAGATATACATACAAAATTTCATTGAAAGGTTCCAATTTCAATGTTTTTCCAAATTCAAAACTTTTCATGGTTTTGGTGTGAATTTGCAATTGTTGCAGTTAAGCCTTGAGATTCTTCCTAACCTAACCAATCTTTACCTTTAATCCTGATATCATCATTAGACCCTACTGCAGCTAGTTAATTCCTTAGACTCTTCCTTGTTTTGTTCTAGTTCTACATCAAATTGGTATTTGAGCTATTAACCCTACATTCAAGTGCATGGATGATAAAAAAAAAAATCCTACATCAAAGTGCATCTATGCAACCCATATTTTAAGGTTTCTTTTCCTTGTATGTTGAGGGGAGATGTGGCTTACTTGAGAAGTCTTTACATACCACAGGTATGAGGACCTTGTTTGTGGTTTACTCCAATTAGATTGCGAAATGATCAGTTATAATTAAGAATCCAAAAGCCTATGCTAAGTTCCACTACATATCCCGAAGTAAATCAGGGGCAATTTGATTAAGGAAATTGTGTTTATTCTAATAGTTTCAAGTTTGCTATGCCTATCCAAAAAGGCTTTTCACTACCTTCTTGTATAGAACCTTTCCCCCTTTGTTCAGTTTTTCTTTTTAATCTTTTGAGGTCTTATGGTGTTTTATGCAGGTAGAGTTGGGAAAACCTCACTTGTGCTGCGGTATGTTAATAATGTCTTCTCTGAGAAGCAAGAAGCAACTGTGCAAGCTTCCTATTTGACAAAGCGCCTTGTCGTTGAAGGTGTCCCCATTACTCTAGCTATTTGGGTGCGTTCTTTTTCTTTTCTTTCTGGATGTTTGAGTTACATTGTCTAAATGAGATTGTTTTCTATCAATGTGGGTATTTGGAAAACATATGATTCCCTAATTTTTTCAATGATGATATTTTCTATGGTTCATGCATTAGTGGCTTGCCTCTTTACTCTAGAAGCCTCACTAATCATTGAATATTTTTACTTATCAATGATTATTGAGCTTTTCAGCAATGATCTAGCTTGAAGTAGCAATTGACAAACTATGGAAATAATATACTTTCTTATTAGCATTTTATGTAATTATATGTCCATAATTATTCATGATACTAGGTAGAGTTTGAAAATGTTATGGTTCAAACTTAGTGATAGTGCACAGGTGTAGGATCTATTGAAATTAGACTGGTGGGTGCACTGGGTGGATAAATTATGGGAAAAGTTCCAGATTTCTAAATAGATGAAAGGACCGAAGGATTGTACTCATGTACAGGAGGTTGTTCATAAAATAAAGTTGAACAAACTAACTCAAATTTCATGAAGCTCCGAAAAAATTGGATGTTCTTGTAATCATCCATCATCATCTTCATGGACTTGGCAAATTAGGTGGGCCCTGATACCCAGATTGGTATCTGTTGTAAGGATCAATATAGCTGATATTATGTTTCATATGATAATTTTTTTTTGGCATTTCATATGATAATTTACTTAACTTTTACCTTATCTATAACAAATCAAAGCTTTATTACTTTTTGGGTTTAAAATGTGTACAACTAGAGTTATGCCAAGCATCCCATAATTGGACTAGATCTTGCTACCTGCCCCTCTGTTTATCGCTTTTTACTTAAATATTACATGCTCCCACCTTGGGAAACAACCACCCAATAAAGTTGATTTCTAGTCACTCCTTGTCTTGCCAAACTATCAAATAGTTTTCAGTGATTTAAAAGTGTGCCTAGGTGCACAAGCGAGGTGCATTTTAAGGAATGTACCTTGCCTATGTCCCAGGCGCAACACTTTCAAAAGGCGTGTGCCTGGTCGCCTTGCGCTTCAGCCCAGGCATGCGCCTTTTCAAATTCCTCCTTGTGAAGTATTTGGGTCTGCCCTTGGGGACAAATTGGTCTTCTTCCTCAGTTTGGGATCCAGTCATTGAAAGATTGGAGAAAAAATTAGCTTCCTGGAAGGGAAAATACCTCTCTTTTGGGGGCGGGGTAACTCTGGTAAAAAGTACCCTTTCTAATCTGCCCACTTATTTCTTGTCTCTATTCCCTATCCCAAACAAAGTAGCAAAAAGATTGGAGCAGCTTCAGAGAAATTTTCTTTGGAGGAGTTGGGAAGATGAAAACAAAATTCACCTAGTTAAGTGGGACCAAGTGTGCCTTCCTAAGGCAGAAGGTGGATTGGGAATAAGGAAACTGAAGAATTTTAATTCAGTCCTTCTCAATAAGTGGATTTGGAGGTTTTCTTCTGAAAGGAATGCTTGGTGGAGAACCCTTATAGCTGGAAAATATGAGGTGGAGTAGGGCAATTGGAGATCTAGGGATCCTCCTCTAATTTGGGGTAACTCCCTTTGGAAAGGCATCATGAAGAATTTCTCTATTTTCTTGGAAGGAGTTTCAGTCAAGATAGGCAAAGGGGATAGAACTAAATTTTGGAAGGACCCTTGGTGTTTGGAAGGCCCATTGGCTGATACTTTTCCTCTCCTTTTCTAATGTGCTTCTAACCAAGATTTCTCAGTGGCTGAGAGTTATTGTTCTTCTGGAGACTCTATTATTTGGACCCCCCCCCCCTTTAGGAGGAACTTATTTGACTGGGAGCTGGTGAAGAGATTATGGAGCTGATGGAGCTTCTACAGAAGTAGAAGATAGACCTATCCTTGGAAGATGAATGGTGCTGGAAATGGAACCCTGATGGTTGTTTTTTCTGTCAAGTCTCTAGCTTCCAAAATGTGCAGCTCAGGCCCCACAGACTTCCCTGCTACTCAGATGATCAGATCTGGAATCCAACAAGCCCATCTAGATCCAACTTTTTGGTGTGGACAATGGCCCTAGACAAATGCCTATCCAGATCTAATCTTGAGAGGCGTGGCATTCAAATTTTAGATCCTTCTTGTGGTCTTTGTCGTTCTCTCCCAGAATCTACAGATCATCTCTGTCTTCACTGCTCAGTCTCCTCTTAGGTGTGGGAGCATTTCCTGAATTCCATGGACATCAGCTGGCTTATGCCTAGGTTAGTCAAGGAGCTGCTGTGCTGTTGGAAGGTAAAAGGCCCAAGTAAGAAAGGAAAATTAGTGTGGAGGACCATCTCTGCAGCAGTCTTGTGGTCCATTGGGATTGAAAGGAACAACAGAATTTTCTGTAATAGAGTTAAAAGTTTTGATGAGCTAGTACCGAGAGCAGTGGGCAAGCTGATTTATTGGGTGTCTGTTACTGAGGAGTTCAGACACCTGAATTTGCCTCTTTTATTTCAGTCTCAGTCTTGTTGGAGATTGTAACTTGTGTTGTTCTCAAGCTGTTTGTCTTGGCCTGAGCTCTGTTGTATGTTCTCAGTTTTTGAATAAATTTACCTTACCTCTTCAAAACACACACACACACACACATTTTGCTTCTTTTTATGCCTAACAGTTGGGCCAGGGCTCTGCCCTCAAACTCCTAACCGAGCTCCTTGATGCAATCCTAAAAAATTCTTAATCGCTACTAAAAAATGATTTTGTAATTTTAATTATCTTTTAAAAATATATTTTATTAGGACGAATGAATGAACAACATTAGCAAATAGGGGGTTCTCTGTTCATTCATTCATCATAATAAAAGATATTTTTTAAAATACAACTAAAATTACAAAACATATATATATATTTTTTTTTTGTAGGGATTAAGAACTTAAGGCCCCAATATAGAATTGTTTGGGCTTGCCTCAAGGGGCTTGGTACAAAAGGGGCTTGTAGAATCAGGAATGCAAAATGTTTGACACCACATTAGCTATTTGAAATAATGTAGTTGGGACAAAAAATAATGAGAGTTTACATGCTTGAATATGTTTTATATGTTATGCTTGATATATTTTTTTTTAATTTTCATTTTGAATATGTTTTACATGTTATGTTTATGTATTTTAATTTGAGATAATAGTTTTTTAACATGTATTTTAAAATTTAAATTTATTTGTTTAATTAATATTATGTTTAATATTTTAAAATTTTAACTTTTGTATATATATTTTTAACTTTTTTGGTTTTTTCTTGCATTTTTGTGCCTTGCTTTGAAAAGGTGTGCACCTCGCTTTGTGCTTTTAAGACATTGACAGTTTTGTGATTTCACTGAATTCATATTATATGTGTCATCCAACTTTATAGGATTGAGTTCTGATAAGAGAAACATTATACTTATAATTGAATTGAGGTGGTGAAGATAGGCCTAGACCAATCTTTTTTTTTTCCTGAAGAAAGTAACAATTTCATTAAAGATAAAACACGGTATATGAGGAGATGTACAGCTGCAAGCAATGGCTCTCTGTTGAAGTTTGACCTGCCATAGAATTCTGTCTTGTTCGTTGACTGTAGAGTAAAGTAGACAGCAAGAAGTAGGAGAGGAAAGAAGAAAAGAGAGAAGAGAGAAAAGAGAGAAAGGCTGGTTCGAGTGCCTCTTACTTAAAGAAGGGCACTCAAGTC